GAAACCAACAAAACGATTATGGTCGTGTTTCGTATTTATATTCCAAACGTACGCTAAGAGTTTGTGGTTGTCTTTTCATTTTAGTATTTGGTAGCAATGTTAACGTAGTTTCAATATTTCGATGCATACAATCCAAAAACTACTTTTAAATATAAACTATGAACGTTTCCGTAGAGAATGTTTAATCTAAAAAGTCACTACATGTGCCATCCATTTTCGAAAAAAATAATTTGGAAATTTTATTATTTATTTATATTTAAAACTAGCTATAAAATATGCATTATCTAAATAATTCAAAAATTCTTTACAGAAATCAAGAATTTTAAAAACTTCTACAATAATAAAATAATCAAAATTTTTGAATATTTTTAAAATGATAGAATGACGTTTTTATCATTGTTATGCTTTGAGTGAAAAAACACCTTTTGAAAATAACAAAAAACTATTTTTTCTGAAAGTACAAAACCATAAGATACAATCATAAACCGATTATATCAAAAAGACGCAACCTTTAGAAATAACCATAAAATGATTATATCTAAAAAAACGCAACCCTTTAAAAGGTGGTTCTATCGATAAGATGCAACCATTGGAAATAACCATAAATCGGTTATTGCCGAAAATATATATACCAAAAATACAACCATAAATCGGTTATATCGAACAAAATGCAACCCTTAGAAACAACCATAAAACGGTTATATCAGAAAACATATCTCTTGAAGAATAGTTATATCGAAAAGACGCAACCTTTAGAAATAACCATAAATCAGTTATTTTCGAAAAGACACGATCCTTACAAATAACCGTAAAGCGGTTATATTAAACATAACCCTTGAAAAAGCATACACGATCTTTGTAAAAACCATAAAACTGTTATTTTCGAAAAGACATAATCCAACAATATTCAATTTTAAATATAAAATTAAATAACATAAAAATGTTTTCCTTCCACACGCATTTCATGGATTAGAACCATAGCTCTTCGTCTAACCAGTAAAATAATTTCTGGATTTGGACGCCAATTAAATCGATTCATTTGTAATTTAAATTTTCCAACGCATATAAAAATATAGTTGATGACCAAATCGCATGTGAGTGTCTGTTCATCTCGGTATTTTGCAACAATGTTAGCACGACTTCAATATTTTGATGTATGCAACCCATAAAAACTGCTTTCAAGTATAAAGAATCAACGTTTTCGTAGGCAGTTGTTAAATAAAAAAAACTCACTACATGCATTAGCAATTTCCGAGAAAAGAGAGTTGGAAATTTCATTAGTTTTTATTTATTTAACACTTGCTATAAAATCTGCATTTTCTAAAGAAACTCAAAATTCTTTACACAAATTAATAATGTTTGAAACTTTTACAATAGTAGACACATCGATATTTTTGAATAATTTTAAATAATAGAATGACGTTTTTTTTATCTTTTTTATGTTTCAAATGAATTATACAATTAATAGTCATGATTAACAAAATGTTCAACGGAAAATAGAGTAAAGAACACAAATATATATGCAATTTTTTTTTCCAAAAAGACCCAATTTTTGAAAAATCACCATAAAACGGTTTTTGTCGAAAAGACGCAACTCTTGAAAATAATTTCGCAAAAACTTGATCATAGATTAAACCTATAAATACAAGGCAATTTTCCAAGAATACACAACCCAAAAATAGTTATTTATTTGGGTTTGCTATATTATATATAGATTATGTGGTTGATAAACTAGTTTTAGAATTGAAAAATATTATTATTTTTGAAAAATCTTTAATATTTTTATCTTTCAACAAAAAAAATTGAGACAAATGACTCACTAGTTCTTGTTGACCC